CCTTGGGCCTCCAGATGTTCTTGGACTAGAACTCCCAGAAGCCTTCACCACCACCTCTGCTGGCCAGGATTTCCAGGAGTTGAAGTCCAAGAACATCTGGAGGCCCAAGGTTGGGGACCACTGCTTACACCTAGAAAACCTTGGATAGTGTTGTCAATTGACATGATGAAACATTTTTAAGCACAGGCCCAAGGTTGGGGACCACTGCTTACACCTAGAAAACCTTGGATAGTGTTGTCAATTGACATGATGAAACATTTTTAAGCACACTTGAAATAAGTGAAATAATGCTCTTTGCTATGTGTATCCCACACCAAGGTTGGGGACCACTGCTCTACACCTAGAAAACCTTGGAAAGTGTTGCCAATTGACATGATGAAACATTTTTAAGCATACTTGAAATAAGTGAAATAATGCTCTTTGCTATGTATAGAGTATCCCACATTCCATACTATCCCCTTCAGTATAAAATTACAACACAATTAAGTGGACTAGGTAGTGGTACTGGACAATCAAAGGATAATGTGGAGTAATGATGATATTTATTCATATTATGTGAATTTGGGGAAGACCAGCCATCATGCATCATTTACAGTGGTGCCTCGCAAGACGAGCACTTCGTTTTATGACGAAATCGCATACCAACAAAGTTTTTGTGATCGCAAAAGCGATCACAAAACGATGTTTCCTATGTTTTTTTTTCGCTTTGCGATGATTGGTTCCCTGCTTCGCTAACCGATTATCACAAAACAACGATTTCTGCAGAGCTGATCGGCGGTTTCAAAATGGTAAAAAAAATTGGCCGCCCACTGTTTTCTGGGACGGATTCCTCGCTGCACGTACAGCAAAAATGGCAGCGCTATGGAGGATCTTCGCTGGACAGTGAGTTTCAAGCCCATAGGAACGCATTAATCGGGTTTTAACGCATTTCTATGGGCTTTTAAAAATCGCTTTACGATGTTTTCGTTCTACAGTGATTTCGCTGGAATGAATTAACATCGTAATGTGAGGCCCCACTGTATATCAATGCTCATGTTGTTGTTGTTGTTTCAAGTGATATATTGTCCCAAAACACTCTCTGGACAGTTTACAACATAACTATGCAAACAGCACTTTGCCCCCCACTGAGCTGGGTACTGATTTTACTGACCTCAGAAGGATGCCCTACAATGTGCATGAAAGAAGGCTTTGTCAGAGGGAAAGATAACGTGATTGATGTAGCACCGTTTGGTCTCAAACTACCTAGTTCATTTCCCTCTACTAAACAATTAATCATACAGTGTTGCATTTGATAAGTATCTTTGTTTCAAAGTTTTAAAGATTGTTGCTAGTGAATATTAATACAACAATCCCTTTGTGTATACCAACACTGTGATACCAACAAACAAATCCTGAAATAACCAATGAGAAGAAAGTCGACAATTAATTCATTGCACCCCTAATTTGGGGAGAAAGCTGAACCAGAGTTTGCGGGGGGGGGAGAACAATCACATTTAGGAATGTAATTCCCTAGAATTACACTGCAGTTTGAAAAAGTAACTTTTCCAAACTTCAGTGCCTAAACATTGATTATGTTAGCACACCATCCTGAGAGCATTTTAAGGATCTGATTCCTGTCCCAAAGGCAAAATGAGAGGAAAAATAGGAGTACAATTCACTAAGCATGAGAAAATAGAGATGGCCAAGTGTTGAGTTTGTACCTGTAAAGTGAGGGAGTTGAAATGTGTAAGCGTGAGAAGGGTGGATTCCAGGCACAATACGGCCACATAACAATCCCTGACACAAACACAATGAAATAGCTGTTCTGAAAGATAAGAATTAAGAGTGTCAGGCATGTTTACACAATTGGCTTATAAGTCCTCTAACAAGTGGGTGGCCTGCTACGTCACCGTGTCACTAGAAAATCATCATCCACAGATGTGGGATGTTGGTGTCTCTTTCTTTTGCTCTACAGCAAAAGCTTTGACAACCAAGTCCTTCTCTCTGGAGAGTTTTGTGCCCTGCAATCTTCAGCTACCTTTGAATCGCAGCACCCCTCTGAAGGCCTGTCCTTCTGTGGGGCGGCTTTTTCAGCCACATGCCTCTCTTTGCTTGCAGGGTTTTGTGCCCTGCAATCTTCAGCTACCTTGCAATCACAGCACCCCTTTGAAGGCCTGTCTACTTCCGTGGGGCGGCTGTTTCAGCCACATGCCTCTCCTTGCTTGCAGAAACGGACTAAGATTTCCTGTTGCTTTTGAATCGTCCGTGCAGTTTGTTTTTGTGCAAACAAAACAAAACCACTCAGACGTTTGGGTTCATTGGTGCAAACATGGAAAGACCAGATTTAATTTTCAGAGCTCTTTGACCATCTCAAGCTTGTTTACACCTTCCATACAATCAGCTAGTAGTTCTGTGCTTGCTACGTAATATGTCCCTGCTCTGCTTTTCAGGCAGAATTTACACTAGTTTTGCACAGAAGATAGCTCAGTGGTTTAGGCATCTGGCTGCGGAGCCAGAGTTTGGGAATTTGATTCTCCACTACAGTATGTTTTGACAGAGGCTGGAGTGGATGATCTCTTCTGCCTCTGCAGTTCTAAGATTATTATATTGTTATAAATGTGCCCTGAGCTAATTAAGAGAACTTCAATGGGGACGGGAGGGAGATCCCTTGTCCTACTCTCATCAGGAGGCAAGGAATCTCACCCAGCTGTTAGATTCCTCGCGGAGGTGTTTGGTTGGCTCCTGCTAGCCAACATTGAAGAGAACAAGTACTTTTCCAATATTTCTTCAGATCTCTAATCTCATCTAGCCTTGCTGGCTCTCAGCTGTAGATGTGGAATTGATTCTATTGAAAAGCACGGTCTGATTTAGATGCCTGGGGGTCAGAAGATGGAAGTAACTAATCACTAATCAGGATAAAAAAGAATTCCACTGGATAAGCCAGTCTCCACAGGAAGAAGAAGAAGAAGAAGAAGAAGAAGAAGCTGCACTTCTTAAGACTAACTGCAAAAAGAAATACCACAATTTAGCTACCCTTTTAAAATGATGGTTTAATACTTTTATTTGTAGGGTGCAGCAGCCTCATGTAAAAAAGGGGTACCTTATGGATTATTCTGTAAGAAATCCATTTAGAATAGTGCAGAAGGTGTTTGCTAAACGGAGCTGAAGAAGACCTTAGAGCCAGCATCCAAGTTTGCAGGTCTGCCTCCCTAACAAAAGTAAAAGAGCAAGGAAAGGAAATAACCTCAAAGAAAGAAGGAAGGAAGGGAACCTAAGAGTATTAATCTAAATACAGATCTAGAAAAGACAAGAGAGGGAAGCATGCCCAGCTACATGCCCAGTTGAAATCATTTGCTAGCTGTCGAACCAGCCCAACACTCCTGTCATAATATAGGCCCAGTTCTGCAAGGCGGAAGAAATGACCCTGGGAGCTTCCAGGCCCTGAGCCAATGCAAAACACATCATTGGCAGAGGGTCTGCTTAGCCTGCTGTTGCTTTGGGATAACAGGAAAGACTGTTTCCTTCCCCTGAACACTATTGTCCTTAGGCCAGGTCTTATCCACCCAATTGTCACACACTGGCCTTCCCCCACTTTCATCCCATCTAAAAGCTGTTTCCTCATTTTATCGATTCCATAGATGGTGAAACACGAGCTCTTTTCCTATTGTGCTTGATATTATTTTTGCAAAAAAAAGGAGAGAGAGAGACTTCCTCTACCTTTTAGCTTCTTTCTGCTCTCCAATGGAACTGTTTCAATTCTGGATGGAAAAGATATTGCCTTGGTTTACGTTTTTCCCTACTAAAGTATCCGTTTCGTGCACACACCCCAAGACCAGCAATGAGAAGAAATATATTTTGCTTCAAAAATCATTAGCTGGGAAAGAGCGATGGCTACGAGACATATACCGTATTTTTTGCTTCATAAGACGCACCTTTCCATGAGACACACCAATTTTTTAGGAGAAGAAAACAGGAAAATATAATCTTTTTTCTTTGCTCCATAAGACACACAGACTTTCCACCCCCCTGTTTTGTGGGGAAAAAGTCCGTCTTATGGTGCGAAAAATACGGTACATTTCAACAGTGCCTATGGGCATATATTGTGCAGTGGTCAAAATGCAGCTATAGGACTAACGATAGGTCATGAACCCCTAACAAAGCAGTCCAGAGACCAGTACCCAGAACAGCAAGAAAAAGAACGGGTCCATGCTGAATCCGCCTCAGTGCCAGGTAAAGTGGATAGGAGAGACTTACAAGAACTAAACTAAGGATCTGAGTTTGCTTTTTCCCCTTTCTCCCTTCCCGTCCCTTTCCCTTTTGTCTTGTTTCTCTTCGATCACAAAAGGCAACAGGCACCCCTGAGGCCACTGAACTGGCTCTCAAAGCTGCTTTTGCCTTTCTGATCCCTGAAACAAACAAACAAACAAACAAACAAACAAAAGGGGGAGGGCTTTCACAGGAAAAGACGAAGCATTTTTAGTGATTTACCTTTTAAATAAGCACCAGGGCAGTGTTTAACACTTCCCACGTACAGGCGCCAAAATATTCAAAACTGGAATGTAACTTTGGATCACGGCTGTTTTCATTTGTTTGCTCTCTCCCACTCCACCTTTCCCCCCTCTTCTCTCATGGGCCATGGAGGATGATGCCAGGGACCCGAAATAGGAACTATAGATGCTCCACCATGTTTTGGGTTGTAAGTTTGCAGAAAACTCCCAGCTGCTCACAAAACCTCCAGCAAGGTCATCATCAATCTAGAGCAGTGATTTTCAACCTTGGGTCCCCTTGATGTTCTCTAGAGCAGTGATTCTCAACCTTGGGTCCCCTTGATGTTCTTGGACTACAACTTGCGGAAGCCTTCACCACTAGCTATGCTGGACAGGATTTCTGGGAGTTGCTGTCCAAGAACATCTGGGGACTCAAGGTTGGGAACCACTGATCTATAGGGCTTAAAATGAGCAGAGGTATGTTTCTGCATCTCCTTTTCTCAACAATACTGTGCCAGACTGAACCTTGCTTACCATCATCACTGGGCAGGCCAATGAGTAGGGAGCTGAACTTCCTATTGTTGTGTCCATGTAGTAACTCATCATCTCTGAGATGCCTGCAAAAAAGAAATGGAAAAGGAGGTTCTGAGAGGCTATTATGATGAAGAGGCATTACAAGACGACAACATGCCCCTCCACAGACTGTGCATGGGACGTAACTTGGGCAGAGCAACTGAGGCATCGTTCCAAGGGGTCAGCCTTTAGCTGACATCAAACTTCAGAGGTGAATTTACTAACTGTTAGGGAAGCAAGCAGCACCTCCCAGCCCTATTCACTTTCTTTTCTCTTCAAAGTATAAACTTTCTCTTTCTAGTTTGTATTAACTCTGTAAGACAGTAGGGTATTGGGAACTGGAGTCTGTCAGGACAGGAGAAGCAAGTTCTTTCCTGTTCTTAGAGGCATGAAAATGTTGCCTACCTGGAGAAGTATACTACCTATATGTTAAATGACTTATTCTCATTTTTTCCTTTTAATAGCTCAAATACACACAACTGTGCGCAAAGTCATCAGATTCACCTATCTATTCATTCAGATAGGCATGAATTTCTTCTTTAGGGCTGAGCTTGCAGAACCAGGAGAAAGTACCACAATTGTGGGGCCACCAGGGAGAGGACCCTGCCCAACGACTGGGCACACAAAAAGCATACATGGACCTCAACAGATGGGAAACCTTGACATCTGACTGTTCAGCCTGGAGGCAGGCAGTTCATCATAGCCTCTCCCAATTTGAAGAGACCCTTGTCCTGCAGGCCGAGGCAAAGAGGCAGTCATGAAAGCAGCAAAATCAGGGAGTTGGAAAGGGGACAGATGGTATTTGTCTTCAGTGTGGAAGGGATTGTCACTCTCGAATTGGCCTTTTCAGCCCCACTAGACACTGTTCCAAGTCCTCGATATAGAGCACGTTACGATAGTCTCTTGAGACTGAAGAATGCCTAAGAAGTTGGGGATGAGTGGGTGTTTTGCACTAGCTGAAGTTTCTGAATTACTTTCAAAGACAAACCCATGCAAACCACAATCCTGCAGCCCAACCAGAAATAATTAGCACTGAGGTAACCGAAGCTAGGTCTGTCCACTGTACTAGTCATGAGCTGGTAGGGAAGTGGTTCCTGGCCATTAAGTTTATCCATGAAATGTACCCACACATCATGAAAATGCCAGGTGAAAGTGAGTTAAGAGGTTTCTGAATTGACACTGTGAATTATACACTTATCCCTTTGCTCCAGAGTTAATCTATAGTTAATCTAGAGGATAAAAACGGTGCCTGATGTTGGCAGAGGTTGGGAGTTTGATTCCCCACTGTGTCTCCCAGAAAAAGAGGCAGCCTGGGTGACCTTGGGCGAGCTGACCAGTCCCCATATGACCCCAGAAGAAGGGAATGGCAAAGCACTTCTGAGTATTCTCTACTTGGAAAACAAGGAGAAGTCATAATTCACCATACAGTAAGTCAGAATTGACTTGATGGAACATAATTATGAATGTTGCTGAGAAGAGAAATAAACAAGAAGAAAACAAAACAGTGGCCATTTTAATCCAGAGTGAGCCGTGGTGTTGTGTTAAACAACAGGAGTGACTACAGGTTCAGAAAGGATTAAAAAGGGCTAGAGATGGGCACTTACTGTGGTTCAGCAGTTCAGGCCCACAGGAGTTGTGTGGGCTCCCCAGATTCCTCACCCCACCTTCTCCCATGGGCACCCCATCAGAAGCAGTGCCACTTGCTCCTCTGAGTGGGCACCTGGGGAAGGAGGTGGGGCAACAAATCTGGGAAATTGGTGGAACACCTGTGGGCCTGATCCATTGAACTGCTCAACTGACGAACTGTAGTTGAAGTCCATCTCTAAAAAAGGACACACAAATTCAGCCAATAACATAATTGGCTTTTTCCCCCCAAGCATTCTAACACCCCATCACCACTTCTGGACAATATTCAAGCTTCTTTGGAAGTAAACTAAGGAGTTCTTCAGAGCTGTTTCCATAGAAAGAACTCAAGGGGAGAGCTGATCGCCATGTCTTATTATGATTATGCATTTTTCCGAAGTCTTTCAGTGGCTTGTGACACAAGACAGCTGGCAGCAGCAAAGGCCAGCGATGCCCCTTTGGAGAAAATGATATTTCCGTTTCTCTGTCTGGAATAAGAAGAAGTGGTCATCTAAATAAAGTATCCATCAGTCCTCTGTGATGCATTGAGTAGAGGAGATTCCTGCAATTTAGGAAGTAGCACAAAAACCTTCGGAATAATAAGCAATGGTTTGGAAGCAACAGAGCTTGGAGAAGTAATTTTCATGGATTACCAGAGTTAATTGTTTGGGGGTGGGTGCTATAATTCCTGATCTCTGCTATTTGGTACGCCCAAAGGATCCTAAATGATAGATTTTTCTTAATCCTGAGAAGTGACATATACTATGAGAGGAAAATGTTTTAAAGGCAATATTTGTTTCTCAAAGTATCTCCAAAAACCCAAGTTTGGTTCAGAAACCACATATGATATAATGTGGATCCACATATGATAGACTTACCACAACTCATACTATGACATCATACAGATATCCAAAGGTCTCATCCTAGACTTCCAGTGTTTCCCAACTTTGAGTCCCCAGATGTTATTAGACTAAAACTCCCAGAAATCTTCATCACTAGCTGTGCTGGCTAGGATTTCTGGGAGATGCAGTTGAAGAACTTTTGGGGACCCAGAGTTGGAACCAATGGCAATAGAGAGTGGTTTCCTATGCAAACTATAAGCTGATGATACATTTCATGACTTGCATATAGACATGTTTCAATAATGCAACAGAAGGCAAGTAGAACTGAGGACAGAACTTGCTGTGAAAAAACCCAACAAACTCAAGTTCCTCAAGACACAACTCTTAGATTCCAGGCACAAATCACTGTATGTTGTGCTTAACATCAACTAATAATTATGCATGCATAAATGTACCCATTTCTCTTTGTGCAGTCCAAATTTTATTTAAATTACAAGAAAATTATTTCGCAATCATCTTATCCAACATGCACGGGTGTTGAACTGCAACTCTGTCAGTCATATGCTTGGTCATGTGTGACCATCACCTCATCAGGTTACCATGGCAGTTTCTGCAGTTAGAAATCTGCACACACATAAAAATTACATAGGATTCTAGCCTGTACAATTACCTAAACCATGGGAAGTCCAGAATAATGTGCAAAGTGAGTGTGCCAAGTCATCAGAAGTCCACAATTATGGGGGAATGTTCAGGTTTGGACTTTGATTGATAACCATCCAATCAGTCGTAAGAAAAATCATCCTGTCGTGTTTTCGTGATTGTAGAAGATACCAGATATTTATCTATGATCTGTATCATGACTACTGTGGTGTAACTGATTTTATAGTTTGACAAACTCAGTACTACACAGACGAAATGTCTTCCCTGCTGACTCAGATCAAGAGTCAAGGCACTTAACTGCAGTAAACCAAACCTTTCTGTGCATTAGAGACAACACCTCATGAGTAGATGGAATTCTATCTGATATTGTGTATGATGGTCATAGCTGGAGCTTCACTTACTGGTTTTTTTGGGGTGTGTGTGTGCTTGGCCTTCCATCCATAAATATGTCCCTCCTTTGTCAGATTGATTTTTCAGACTTTAAGAACTGTCTCAGTCACACTCCTTGAACCCCGATAGGATGCCAGCTCTAATTGTGGCATATCTATATTGTATCTACACTGCTCCAGTGGTTGCCAACCTTGGGTAACCCAGGTGTTCCTGGCCAGCAAAGCTCGTGGTTTAGGCTGTGGGAATTGCACTCCAAAAACATCTGGGTTATCCAAGACTGGGGAACAATGTATTAGTCTAACTCTTAATGGGAGATTGATATGACCACTGAGTGGAGGGCGGTATCATCAATTGCTAGTCATGGGAGCGCACTAGCTTATTGGCTTGTGATGCAGCTACCGGACACTTAGTGGTCATGTGTAGGGATGGGTGTCATGAGTGTAGCTGAAGACCTGGAACCAGAAGGGTTAACTGAGGCTGAGGAGAATGCTGAGCAATCAGAAACACCTGAATCACCTCCAGATGCTCCTTCCTCAGCAGACAAGCTTCGGGCCAGGCTTCGGGAAAGACTTATGGCAAAAAGGTCAGAGGATCGCTCGAAGGCTGTCCACAGAAACATCCGTTCAACTAGTCCTGAGTACTGACAGGATGGAAAGGTTTCCAACAGCTCAAGGAGCTGTTTTACTATAAAAACAGCTCCTAGTCAGCTAGAATTCCGTGGAAGCAACAAGTCAAAACCTCTGGCTTGCATCCACGCTCCTACAACCTTGCACCGTGTTTCCTGAACTCCTGACTCTGGACTCGGACTTTGGACTATGTTGTATGTTTGACCTTGGACTCTGACCTTGGACTACGTTCTGTGAGTTGGTTTGGTAATTGGATATCGGCTTTGCATTCCTAGTATTCCTGACTTTGGACTGGCTTATCGGATCTCGGCTGTTGTAACCCCCGGGAACTTGACAATGGGTGAACCTACCAAGTCTCTTGCCAAAGAATCTCCTCCTTTTCTTACCACCAGTTCCATGTGGGTTTAATGTGGCTAGTGATGGTGCTGACTGCAACAAAACCAACAATGATGGCAATGATGATAATTATAACAGAAAATCCATTTTCCGCCCAACATTGCATTTGCAGTTTTTGTCCTGCATCATCTAACCAGTAGAGGTTGATAGTGCCATCATCAGTGGGACACGAATCCACTGTGGGTTTTATTACGAATTTTTACAGGAGTTATCCAACATGTGAACTGTATCCTCAGAATAAGTTCGGTGTGTTGGACAGCTCTTTAAAATGTCAGACTATTTGTTTTATTTACTTTTCTTTAAAATATTTTATCCCATCTTTCTCTTTATAAAGGACCCAAGGCAGCTTACATGATTAAAAGACAATATTTAAAAGCTAAAAACAGTAAGTATACATATATTTAAAAGAATCGAATACCACACTGAAACGGATAAAGAAAATCAACAGCTAAAACATGTTTCAAAGCAACAAGGCACGACACTCCATTAAAAAACCGCTCCCAAGCA